AGGTTAGTGTTTAAAGGTAAACACAAGCGTTATTTAAAGAATCTTTATGCGTTCTTCAGGTTTTCTTTAAGTGTCGATATTTTCAGTGTTATCACTGATCAATGCAAGTTTCACAGAAACTTTCTCCCAGTAAACCATACACTGACCTTGCGAATATTTATTTAACCGTAATCGCACACGATATCTGTCCATTAAAATAAATGCAATAAATCAGCCGTCGAGAGATATAACCCATGCTGCAGAATGTGAGAGGAACTCAGTCTGCCCTTTTAAAATACTTAATTATATACTAACTGTGATATAATGAAACAACAGCTCGAGGATGAAAGTGAAATATTGTTGCACAATGCAATATATTTTGTCTCTAAGACAAATTGTTAACTCTTTCAAATGCATTTCATATAGGAAGTTATAGGCCTGTGTCACCGAACATAAAGCCGTACATTAACAATCTCTGCATGCTGCAAACACATCACAATCACTTCAGAGTATCTGCTTTTCTTTGTTTGGCTTCGAATAATTTCTCATAAAAAGCGTTACTCCATTAAAGAAATAACTAACTACTTTTAGGCGTTTAATGCATCATTGATTCAGTACTAACAACTTTTACATGATTAAAAGGCAGATAACTATCGCTCATGGGTTTAATCCCTTGTTAAACTTGCGGTAACCTCTGTTTCTGTCTCTTTCTCCCGTTCTCTGCCCTCTCCTCAGGCGTTTCTTCTTCATTCGCTCGTTTTGCACTTAAGACAGGAATGTTCTGCTTACATTTACTGTGACTCTCTTTACTCTGTATTCATCTGAAAACACCAGCACTTCTGCACTCGCTGTATTTACACTACACGCAGCGGGCGAAGGCATGAACGCAGAGGAATGATAAGATAAGAATATAGAGTGTGTTTGATCCGTCTTACTTTTCTTTTCAGCCGTTTAATGTGGTTTAATTACCTGCTAGCAAAACCGTACCACAGAATCCAACGAAAGCACAAAACATTGTATTAACACTCGTTTAGCACGTTTAGCACTTCTTCATTAATGTTTGGTGTCAAAATGTGCCAATAAACTATTCTGCACTGCCACGCGCCATATGCCAAACAACGGGGTGTCATAAACGAGTAATTCGGGTTGTTCTGTTTGTTTTAAAGTTGTGAGAACAACAAACCGTGTGAAGATGCAGTTCCCCTGCCGAGAGTTAGTTTATTCACGGGGAGCCGCTCTCAAGCGTCAAAACAGCCCAATAAAAGCAGCGAGAAGACCAATGTCATGCGGGACTACGGCAAGCGATTAGAGAGAACTATAACATTAATATTACTATTAATAATAATTTTTTAAAAATTTACAATAGCAGCCTAATAATAGCCTAATAATAATATGCTAATAATAGCAACAACAAATAAAATAAATTGTTAGAGTCCAGTAATTATTATTTGTCGCAGAGAGCTGAGGTAAAGCACTGTAAAGCGCTGGTATCCATCAAGTGAAGGATCAGGTATTTGTCATGACATAATAACAGATTACAACCAATCATGAGTCCAATTGTGTGTGAACGATGCCCCGGGAGTCGCGTCGCATCTAATCACTGAGGGGTTGAACGAAAACAAGCCCGATCCTTGACAAATATTTCCGTAAACGTTGACGTATCGCTCGGTGTTTGTTGTGTTCTGGAAGCGCTCGGTCCCTCAGAATCATCCATCCGTGCGCTTCGGTCTGGCCACACCCCGGTGCACACGTCACGCGGCACGCCCCGCCCCTCAATCCGCCGCGTCCAGTGATCGACGCGCGTCGCGATTACACCTTCGCCGGCCGCCGGCCGCTCTTACCGCTCCGTTATAACGGAGAAACTCTAAACCATCCCAGCGAGCAGACACACAGAATATGTGCCGTCATAACGGACTCTGTGGCGCTGGATAAAAGCCGTCGGATATTGCCACGCGTTTCTTCTGCAAAAGGTAAAACATGCCTAGCATGCACTGAATATAATTTCGCGCATGGATTTGATGGAGTCGGCAGCTGATAACTTACTGATAACTGCAGGTTGTTCATCCAACAACTTGTGTGTAGAGCACAGGCCTGTAACACGCAGTAAAAGATGCTATATCTCGGAGTCATTCTTTAAAAACGAGGAGCTTGTCGTTAATAACTCATCGACTAAACACAGAGTGCTTAGGAATCGAGGCTGTTTGATGCAAATACTCGTAAGAAATATTAAATAATAAATATCACAATAGCCGTAATTGTCAGGTTCACCATAAAATGTCCTTTTGCAGGGAATAAAACTATCCACGCAGGAATATTTTCACGCAAGACCGCATATGGACTAAAACACAGCAAATTAAGTGAGAGTGGACACTTGGACATTTAACCAGGACACCAAGAGACCAAGACTTCTCTGAGAAATGTCCAACACAACTGGGCGAGGTAAAAACAATAAACGAGTTATTTTGAAATCTATAACGGAATCTGTAGAAATGTCTAAGAAATGAAAAGCAAATGCGGCAATAACGACATGCATTAATTCAGGCATAATATTTCTCCATACAGGCATGTTCAGCTAGTTTCAGTTCAATAAACTATTCAACGAATATCAGACAAACCTGCCATTTTATTTTATTAGTTTATTTTACAAATAGCTTCTGTTAATTTACTATCAATCGTAAGAGAAATATAGAAATTATTATTATTATTATTTATAATAGATTAATTATAGGAAGCCCCTGTCATCAACTACTGGAGCATGTATTCCAGTGCGCGAGGAATAGTCGCTGATATAACGTGACAAAACTAGATCCTCTCACATTCATAACAAATCCGATTGTGTGGAATCTTAAATGTAATTCTTATGAATGGGATTGTTTTGTTGTTGTTTAATTAGTTTATCTACCGGTTGGAGTGCAGAGGAGTTGGACATGAAGTCTTTACTCGTTTACAGGTTAATAGCTTGAACTATAGCAACAGAAGAGTAAACCTGCTCCAGAAACCGCATTCTGACTCAAATCTAGGATTTTTGTCGGTATTTTAGTGATAGACATATTGATATTTGCACACTGGAGCTTGATTTCGATATTATATATATATATAGCCTATTTTTTTCTTTCTAATTTACGACTGTAGCCCCGTTTGTCTGTTTGGCCCCGAAATCTGCTTTCCTGCTTTTCTCTAATTTTTTTAACATGAAAATGAATGTATTCATGTTATTCATATTATTAATTGTGCGTTTTATAAGTTTGCTTTCATGTGCTATGTTTTATTGTATACAATATAGCTTATAGCACTCTGTGGAGAAGATTTTTCAGCGATTTCGGTCATATTTTTTTAAGCTCAACGTTTCGTTTTCCATGTTTTTTTTTTAAAACTAATTTACAGTTGCTTATTTTTATATTCAGTTGATCATTGAAACGATTATTATAGTCCAAACTTGTTGGAAATTTGTCTCATTTTCTTAACCCTCATTGCGTACCGAAATAATTGTATGAAACAGATCAAGTGTCTATAATGTCAGAACAAAATAGATTATCTAACATTTGCAATAGCGTATAACAAGTGAAGATCACTGTAAACAATTACTTAAAATGTTAGCTAAAATCATTTTGTAAGCGATGCGCTGTAGATGTTTGTAGTTCAGGCTATGATCCAACACAAGCCTCTTTAAAACGCTAATAATCTGAATAAACAATTAAAACCAATCAACAGTACTAGGCTACAAGATTTTGCCGCGGGATAGTGAACGTAACACGAACTTAATTTAGCAAAGCATTTGGAATCTGTGCGTGTTAAACCTATTTTTAAATATTTTTTAATTGGCATGGTTGTGTTTACATAAAATACTGCCAACGCATTATGCACAAAACAAACATTTTGGAAACAAATTTGTACCCAGAAGTGAGTTAATGTCATGTGTCCTCATTTGTGAAAGTTTTCTGTTAGGTTAGGTTTGGATTAGTATTTATATAAGCCTATACTAGCTGTTTATTAAAGAAAAAAAAAAAAAAATAGAAAGAATTTAATCTATGAAAGGTCACCATTTAGTATCCTGTCTCTTGCGGACTCTTGGCGAGGAGGGTTTGACACACTCCGCTAACACCGTTAATAGCGCCGTTTGATGTGGAAATGAAAGCTGCAAAAGAGCACAAGGGGAAGAGGAGGCTGAATGGGCTAAATTAAAAGTGAGGCTCTTGTGAGAGTCGCTGGAGCGCGCAGCACGAAACTAATTTCGTCACAAAAGGGCGCAGGGCGAAAACACGAAGAAGGAGCACTGAAATATCCATTATCCAGACACTAAAAACGAAAACAATGGTAATAGTAACAATGATTACTTACTGAGCAATAGTTTCCTTCATCGTATTTACATTTTTACACGTAAGCCCCCCTCTCCATTATTTCAGTGCAAAGGATGAGTTTCATTTAAACAACATTATTTTCCTTTGATAAACTTTTACATATTTCATAGTTTTAATTAACTTAGTAGAGTTATTTCTACTCAAAGAAACAACATCGTTCTTGGCTAAAACTGGTAATAGCTGAAGTTATGATCAGTTCCTATATTATTACAATTTCTTCTACATTTTAGCAGAGTTTAATGCAGTAAAAGCCAAATATTCTGCAGGACGTCCCACAGGATCATGAGATGCAGATCTGGAAGCTTTTCCAGAAACTGGCACAGAGCGGTCTAGAGCAGAAGTTGTGGATATGCAGTACTAGTGAACTGTTATGGAGACCGTGTTTGCTGGGTTTAGAGAAACTAAGAAAACATAAATGCTGAAGACATTATAGTGTAGTAAGTGATGTGACTCCTTTTCTGTTGCGTTTGTTGAATCTGGTTTTATTCTCTACACTGTTGAGAATGTATGTAACTTTCAGAAGCGTGTTCATGTGATTCGGTGATTACACAAAGAAACCTGGATTTCAAATTAAACTCACCTGTGCTGACAGAGGTGTTTGTTTGTCTCACACAGCTGGCGTGATGTTTATGTGTGTTCATGTCCTTTCTCCCCCAGGTCATGGGGGTCTTAATCAACTAGGCGGCATGTTTGTGAACGGACGCCCGCTCCCGGAGGTCATCCGGCAGAGGATCGTAGACATGGCACACCAGGGAGTGAGACCCTGCGACATCTCTCGCCAGCTGAGGGTCAGCCACGGCTGCGTCAGCAAGATCCTGGGCAGGTAATGAGTCCAGAGCAGCCCTGCTGTTGGCCACGCCGATAAGCTGGAAGCATCCCGTTAGGCTCAACGGGAACCACCCACGAGCGTCTTAATTCCCCAAAGCTGGAATAGTCAATATGCGGCACCAAACAATTCCTTTGGGAGGCCCAAAATCGTTTATACTTAATCAGAAGTCCTCCTCGTTTCCCACGTTTTTTACGACCTTTCTTCCTTTGCTGGGAACACCGTCGCCGAAGCAGCTCCACAGGAACCATAACTGGAAGCCTGTGTAAGGACCTGAGGACTGGTGTAATATGCTCAGATTTTCTGGTTCTAGTCAGAATCCTGGCAGCAGTGTTCTGGATGAGCTGCAGCTGTCTAATGGTCTTCTTGTGAAGGCCGGTGAGGAGACCATTACAATAGTCCACCCTGCTGGTGATAAAGGCATGAACAAGTTTCTCCAAGTCTTGACTGGAAACAAGACATCTTACAAAACATCACACACTCATGCACACACACGCACACTGTAAAATCTAATTAGTTGGGCTTACTTAAAAAAAAGCATGCAAACCGATTGCCTTAAAAAAACTAAGTAAAGTGAAATAGGAATAGTATGTTGTACTGACAAATGCTTAGTTAG